CTGCTGGTGCTGGTGCTGCCGCTGGGGGTATTGGTGCTGTCCCTGTTGTGTCTAGAGTCGCCGCGCGGCCTCGGCCGTACTTCGTTCCGCTCCTTCAGCAGGTTTTTGGTCTCCCGCCTTCTACTGGTCCTCCTCCTCCCTTAGAGTGTCCACAGCCTGTCCCGTCAAAGTTAAAATTACAGCCGGCCTCCCCACTGCCTGCTCTGACTCCCTACACTGGTCCTACAGGAGGTCTTGCTGAGCGTCGTGACCCTGCGTCTCGCCCTGCGTCGCCTGTCCGTGCTGCTCGCACTAGTGGTCGCGGTTTGCGTCAGCGTCTTCGTCCTGTCCCTGGCACGCACCGGATGTCTCTACGTCCGTTCACTGCTCCTCTACGTGCCCCTTTACCTTCCCCTCCTGAGTCTTCTCTTCCTGCTCTTGCCGACCCGGAGTCGGACTCTCTTCGTGCTGCCAGTCCTACTGTCACGCGTCTCCTTGCTACTGTTGTTACTGACCCTTCCTTTCAGTCCACTGTTGCGTCTGCCCTAGTTGCTGAGCTCGTCGACTTTGCTGCTCGCTGTCGCCTAGACTACACCGCCTGTCTTGTTGCTGAGTCTGAGTCTGTCTGTCCTCCGTTCCTCGGGGGTGAGTGTGCCCTTGGCACGGATGTCTTTGAGGACAGGCAGGAGGAGTTCCAGTGCTTGGCCGCTGCTTCACCTCATCTCGTGTCCGTACTGCTTACGCCTGAGGGAGACCCGGTTGCACTTGACATCCCGACTCCGCGCTCTTACGCGAAGGCGATAGAGGGTCCCTACTCCTCTCAGTGGCAGGCAGCTATGGACACAGAGATGGCATCCTAGAAGTCCACAGGCACCTACGTTGACGAGGTTCCCCCGCCTGGGGCGAACATCGTCACTGGCATGTGGATTTTCAGGGTGAAGCGGCCACCGGGTTCTCAACCTGTCTTCAAGGCGCGTTACGTGGCTCGTGGCTTCAGTCAGCGGCAGGGAGTTGACTACTTTAAGACCTTCTCTCCCACCCCGAAGATGACCAATCTTCGGGTACTACTGCACGTAGCTGCTCACCGTGACTACGAGCTACACTCTTTTGACTTCACCACTGCTTTCGTGCAGGGCAACCTGCACGAGGAGATCTGGCTGCGCCGCCCACCTGGCTTCACTGGGACTTTTCCTCCTGGCACCCAGTGGAGCCTCCGGCGGCCAGTCTACGGTCTTCGCCAGGCACCGCGTGAGTGGCACGACACAGTGAGGACTACACTTGTGGCTCTTGGGTTTGCTCCCTCTACTGCTGCCCCGTCGCTGTTTCTGTGCACCAACACTTCTCTGCCGCCGTTCTACATCCTCGTGTACGTCGGCGACCTGGTCTTTGCCACAGCTGACACTGCTGGACTCGCCCACGTGAAGTCCGAGCTGCAGAAGAGACACACGTGCACTGACCTGGGTGAACTGCGCAGCTACCTTGGCTTGCAGATCACTCGGGACAGGGCACGCCGCACCATAACCCTGACTCAGTCACACATGGTGCAGCAAGTCCTTCAGCGCTTCGGCTTCACGTACTCCTCGCCTCAGGCCACTCCTCTGCCTACTCGCCACTCACTCTCAGCTCTGCCTTCGGATGAGTCCGTAGAGTCGAGTGGCCCGTACCCAGAGCTTGTTGGCTGCCTCATGTACCTGATGACCTGCACACGACCTGACCTTGCATACCCTCTTAGCATTCTCGCACGCTATGTAGCTCCTGGGAGACACAGACCAGATCACATGGCTGCTGCGAAGAGGGTGTTGCGCTACTTGTGCAGTACGTCGGGCATGGGGCTTGGGCTTGGAGGGCAGAGTCCAGTGGTCCTCATTGGGCACGCAGTCGCTTCTTGGGCTGACGACCAAGCTACGCAGCGGTCGTCACAGGGTTACACCTTTAGCTTTGGTTCCGGCTCTGTTTCGTGGCGGGCTACTCGCTCGTCTTGTGTTCTCGGCTCCAGTTGTGAGGCTGAGATCTACGCCGGAGCCATGGCTGCTCAGGAGCTTCGCTGGCTCACCTACCTGCTGACTGACCTCGGAGAGCCGCCTCGTTCTCCTCCAGTCCTGTACGTAGACAACAAGGCCATGCTGGCCTTGTGTCGGGAGCAGCGACTAGAGCACAGAACGAAGCACATTGCTCTTCGCTACTTTCTTGCTCGTGAGCTGCACCAGCGTGGTCAGCTGCGTCTTGCGTACGTGGCCTCTTAGGCCAACACTGCTGATATCTTCACCAAGTCGCTTGCGCCTTGTGATCATCAGCGCTTCTGTACTTAGCTGGGTCTTGTGCCTGCCTTGCCTCACTTGCTCAACTCTCGATTGTACTGTTACATATATATATACACCTGCTCTTGCTTGTCTAGCCTTTTATATATATATGTACTCCTGCATTTGAACTTGCCTTGTGGCCTTGAACTTGTGTTCGGAATGTGTGGTGACTTTGTGATCCACCCTGAGCTTGCTTTGCTTTGCTTGACTGGTCTTGTGACCCCTTGTTCTCCCCCACTTTGCCTATGGGGGTGTGTCAGACCATCATAGCTTATGCTTTTGTGTAGGCTATAGTGGGGTAGCCCATAAGGGGTACAACTGAATTAGGGTTAGTACTTGTACCCAACTCTTTCATAGTTCATTCATTCTCGTGTTTTCACACCCATCTTCAAGTTGTCCAATTGCCTCTGGAGAGACGCCTTTGCCACTGAATCCTTCACCTGGTAAGTCTCCATCAGATACTCCCATGCTTCGAATGCCGGACTGTATGACTCTCTGAATACGTCCAGTTGTAGCTGAATCGTTGTGCTCACGCTATGTAGCAGCACCCAAAAAGCCAGCGTAGCCCGTTGTGAGTAATATGCTTGCAGAATTTCTAGCCGTTCCATTGCATCTCGCATTTCTCCATTCGCCATTGTAACCGGGTATTGTAGTGTCACGAAAAACTCCCACAGATTTGTCACTCGTGCGTTCATGCGAAACCGAAGAGCCCATTCTCGGAAGTTAGTCCCGTCGAACGGGGTTGTTGTGAACACTTTGTCCACTGCTGCTCCCACCATCTTGCGTGACAACCTGTCCTTGTCTTCTTCCCTGTACTCGCGTGGAGATGGGTCGAAGAGCGTAGGCACGTTAGATGGTCGAGGTAGTTGTATCGTGCGTTGTGTGCCTTCACGTTTCACCACTTCCACTTGATCACGTCGCATAACACCATTTGACTGCATCTCGTGCCCCATGCGCCCTATGCTTCCTGCAGGTACAGCTTCCATTTGAGACCGTGGCGCACGAGGAGGCACGACATTATTGCCAAAAAGGTGAGATCTGCCCATCACGGGAACTCCAATGGGATGGGAGTTAGTAGCAAGACGTCGCAATGGGGGAGCACCAATAGTGTAGGATTCGAATCCCACACCTTCCATGCCCACATGACTACTTCGACCACTCCCTTCACCAATCTGTCCTCTCATGTTTCTTCCCACGCCGATCTCATCACCATGCTCCATCACATTTGTTCCACTCCCGTACGCGTCATCCCTCCCCGTTGCTTCCTTTTGCATGATTGATTGAGGTTCGGGGTGGGAGCTCCCCTCTCCTTGGAAGGATGCATCCCTCCCTTGGGATGACTCTCCTCCTTGGGGTAGGCTTCCCTCTCCTTCACCTTCAACCCCTGCATCCACATTTGAAGCATGGGTTTGATTAGTACGCGGTGTGCTTGCATGTGACTGTTCACGGGTGGATGGGTCTTGTGCTTGACTTGGCATGTTGAACTTGACTCTTAATGATGCTTGAACTGTCGGTGGTGCCCTTGCGATCATGTACTCCAGGTGCTCATGTTGAGCCATAATGGCCTCATCAAACGCCGCGTATCCTGCGTCAACTTCCTCATCAAACCGTGCCATGCCGTTGTTCCAGAAAGTTGCTCGTACCTATGCTGACTTGCTAATATCCTTGTCAAAAGTTCTTGATGATAAGTGCCTGACCGAATTTCAGCAGCATGCCCCCCTAGAGTTGCTCTGATACCATGCTAGAAATGCATAGTGCCGTCGTAGCGGAAGCTTGATTGTAAAAAGTAGCAAGAGAAACTTTGCAACTGAAAGGACTCAGAACAATGGAATGGATTGTGGCACCACACAGCAAGGTATTTATCCAGGCACCTAACCCTCCACAGTCCACCCATCCACACCAATAATGGTGCACCAATAATGCTACCCACCAATAAGGGTACATTCCGCTGTGGACACATGTCCCAATCGATGTGTCCCAATCGAGTGTACCGCTCCGAACCGAACTGAACCAGAGACGCGAAAATTTCGAAACTAGGGTGCAATTTGGTGTAATACGATGCAGTGCGGTAGAAACGATTGGGACACATCGATTGGGACGTGTGTCCACAACGGAATGTACCCTAACTCTTACCCTCAAATAATTCTAGACCCCCAATAATTCTGGCTCTACAATAATTGCACAATTATTGTAGGACCTGAAGTCTTATAAAGGGTACTACACTAATATCTAACAGCATATAAATTTACTTTATAATTGTATTTCCAACTTGTCAGACATGAGGTCAGACATGAAGTGAAGTTGAGAAAGACCCGAAGTGACCTGGAACTCTGGCAAACCAATGTTCGAAAGACCCGATGTGGGCCACTTCGGGGCTTCCGAACCTCCATCCGAACCTTCACTTAGTGTCTGACACGAGGTAGGAATGCACCCTTATTATCGGTATCTTGAACCATACTCGATCCATCACGGTATCGCAAGCCAACATGAAACAAGTGCACGGGTCTCTGCTGTGCCTTCACTTCACAGTTTAATGTATCCTGATTTTGCTCAACTCGCTCGAGGACTATCAGCCTGTCGCTCTGCCAGATCCATCACCGGAACCTCACTCAGAGGCAACCTGGCGGGTAGTTGAACGAATCTTACTCTACCAGAAGCCAGAAGCAAAGCAACGTATGCTATATGTACTAGTCAGTTTTGCTGTCTTTATCACAGTAGGTGTTACTTCTGCTCACCTCTCTTGGGAGGCTCAGCCGGCACATTCATGTGGCTTGCCACGAGCCCTTGAGCCCACTTGCTGCGGGGGACTATCAGCCTGTTGCTCTCAGCTAGATGCATCACAGGGACCACACTCGGGGGCAACCCTTGGGATGAAAGCTGTTCCTGAGCGGCCTGAGATTCTGGCGGAAGTTTTCGTTTCCGGGCTGACCGCACAAGCAGACACCGGGCAGGTGCGATTGGGACAACAGCAGGGGATCTAGGGCGTGGAAAAGTTGGGAGTGTGCTCGGAAAAACTGCAGGAGAGTCTGGGAGAGGTGGCTCAGTGTGCATATGTAACGGGGCGCTTGCAGGCAGGTGTCTTGTTTTAGTCACACGTGTGGGGGATCCTGTCAGTTGTTGTCTAGTTAAATCACCACCAGCACCACCAGCAGCACCAGCAGCACCAGCACCACCAGCAGCACCAGCACAACCAGCAGCACCAGCACAACCAGCAGCACCAGCAGCACCAGCACCACCAGCACCACCAGCAGCACCAGCAGCACCAGCACCACCAGCACCACCAGCACAACCAGCAGCACCAGCAGCACCAGCAGCACCAGCACAACCAGCAGCACTAGCACCACCAGCACCACCAGCACCAGCACCACCAGCACCAGCAGCAGCACCACCAGCACCAGCAGCAGCACCACCAGCACTAGCAGCGGCGGCAGCAGCAGCAGCAAGGCTGGCAAACTGACTGGAAATCGGAAACGGCTGGACCCATTGACTGAGCTCGGACCGAGCCTGTCCTCGTGGCTGCTGGCGCATTCCCGGAAAAATCTGGGAAGCAGTGGGATTCTGTGGCTGGGGAAGTTGGAAAGTGGCTGGAGAGAAGCTTGGTGGGTCGAAACGCATAGGCGAAGTAGGTGGATTGAAAAGGGAAGGTGGTGCATTGAAAGTAGAAGGTGGTGTATTCAAGTGGGGAAAGAGTGTGACCGAACGAGGGGTGGCAGTGCTTGGAGCATTAAAATCTACTCTGGTTGAGCCTTGTACCTCCCTTCCACGTTCGGACGGTGCCGCAAGCTCTGTCCGAGCCTGTCGTGCAATCATGATGGGCTCTGGCAGGCGTAGGATCGGAGAAAACCCTGCAGCAGCAGCTGTAACACCACCTCTGTCAGCGGCAGCGGCTGTACCACAAAAGTTGCTTGCAGCAGCAGCTGTGGCACCAGCAGCGGCAGTAGCACCAGCAGCGGCTGTAGCACAAGCAGCGGGAGTAGAAACTGCAGCTGCTGTAGCACCTGCAGCGAATCCAGTCACCCATCGACGCAGTTTGACATTTCGAGGTTCTTCTCTCTCTCTGGATCGTCTTTGCTCCTGCTCTCGTTCCTTCCCCTCCCCTTGCCCCTGCCCTTTCCCGTTCCCCTGCGCTTTTCCGTGCCACTTTCCCTGCCTCTGCTCCTCCCATGGTCCCTGCTTATTTTCCCTGTCAGAAGAAACGGCTTCCCTCTCTTTCCTGACGCTTCTCCTGCCACCCGTGCTTCCACTGCAGCCGCCAATGCTGCCGAGCCTTCCCAGCTCCAAGCTGCTGCCAAGCCTTCCCATCGCTCCAGTGCTGCCGAGCCTTCCCATCCCTTCACCGCTGCCGAGCCTTCCCGTCCCTGCTCTGCTGCCGGGAAGGGAAAGGCTCAGCTCGCTGGCTGCCTCAGCCGCATCATCTTGCTTCAACGGTGGCGTCTTGGGGCTAGAGCGGGAGCTCCACACAGGCGCTGTGCGGGCGTGTCTGGGCGTGTCCCATACAGTCACACCATGCCTGTGCGTGTAAAAGTCAAGCTGGTCCGCTGTATCAGGGAGAAGCATTCTCTCGGCAGCACTCTCCCTTCCGCTGCCTGTGCCTCGGTGTCTCCGCGTGTAAGAGTCAAGCTGGTCGGCTGTAGCAGGCGAAAGAACCCCCTCCGCACCAGGCGCAAACGGCAGGGGGAGAAGATGCTCTCGAGGCCCCTGGGAATCAAGTGGTTGCGTCAGTGGCAGCGTTAATAGCAGTGGCGCTGGCTCACGTGTTGATCCTCCACGTGTCGAAACTGCTCCAGTCTCTCGTCCAGAAAGAAAGGTCAGGTGAAGGCTCGTATCCAGGCTCGGATTAAGGTTCAAATTCCGGCTCGGGTTCGGGCTCGGGTTCCAGCTCGGACTCAGGTTCGGGTTCCGGCTTGGACTCAAGTTCGGATTCTGGTTCGTATCCAAGCTCATATCCAGGCTCGGGTTGAGATCCACGTTGAGGTCAATAAACGTTGTCGTCGTCGTCGCCGCCGGCGCATCGGCGGAGCATTCTAGCCGCGATTCAATCGCGTCTAGCCGCCTTCGCTGCCGCCCAGACGACCGCGCCCCTCGAGCCTCGTAAACGTCGTCGTCGCCGTCGTCGCCTTCCCCGCGTTTCTCCGCGGATTCCGCGAACATTCTCCCCGCGCCATTCGTCGTCTTTAGAGATAACTTCAAGTTGCGCTCTGCTATAACTTCCTCCCGCACTTTCGTGGAGATTTCCTCTTTGAGAGCGAAAGGCATGTGGGCAGAAGCTTCCTGTCGTCTTCTTCCTTCGTGGGAGCTGCGGAGGATCACCGCCTGTGGCGGCGACGAGGCTGAGGCGTCCCGCCGCGATTGCCGCTCCTCCGCCGGACGCTTTTCTTCGGCGACGAACGAAGCGCCACGGAATTCGTCACCGTGACGAGAACCGTCACGTTTCACGTCGTCGGGTGGGACGACGCGCGGTTGAATCCGTTGGGCGAGCTCCCGTGACCTGCCGTCTAGAAACCGCCGTTCAGCTGGGTTGGTTCTGTTTGCTAACTCCGAAGTATCCGCACGTAGATTACAGTTTCCTGCAGTCATTCAGTTGACTACCCTCGGAGTGATTTGGTTTCCGCCTTCCCTTATTGCCAGTGCTTGTAGGGATACCGGAAGCAGCAGCAGCGCCGCGGAAACCGAAGCGAGAAAACGAAGGATTGACATATGCTGCTACGCCAATCCGTTGAGAACGGGTGTCCGAATGTCGTTACTCGCAAGGAAAGTAGTATGCCTGAGTCTTTTCTAGTAATATTAGAACGACAGAGTGCTCTAATAAGCTCAGATATCCAGTACGTGGAGATAAACATGACAAGAGAAACGACGCGGGAAAGCTGAATATTGAGCGACCCTATGGGGTTTGCGTCGATCGACATGATCATAGGCTCGTTGATGACAGATGATTTAGGTGGTTGATTGCCTAAGATCGCGCTTAGCCTCGGATTTGCCAAAGAATGCCCTAAGATTGTCCTGCATCTTGCCGGTCCCACCATGGAATGCCCTAAGATCGTCCTACGTATCGCCAGTCTTATCAGTGGCCTCCTGCCGGGCACCTAGGGGCTCCCAGCACATATTGACCCTAAAACGAGAAATGCTCTGCCGAGTCAATCTATTTTGACCAAAAACGACGTCCTGAGCCTGTGGGACCAGAACAGGATGTCCAATGACAGTCACCCACGAAACGGCGAAAGAGCAGTCGCAACGAGGCAATGTCAACGTTAAGATCGCTGTATCCGAAGCGTTTTGCACTTCTAACTCGCAATACCATCAAGCATTTGCTGTGACAGCTTACGCTAATACTGGCAACGCTCGCAGCATTCTCATCACAGCACTCGCGGCACTTCTGCATGCAGCGAAGCGCAATCACTACACAAGGACAAACTTTGTATCTCGAGCACGAGGTACGAATCTGGCCAAGCTATTTTTGTCAAGCTGGTTGCTGTGAATTGATGCGCTTCACGCTGCACGCCTCGCTGCGCAACACGCGTCGGTCGGCGTGATCTGCAAGAAAATCTCGACGACGTAGAAAGATTTCTAAGAGGGATTCTGAACGTGCTGGCTGAACGTGCTTGAATGAAAGCAGCAAGAATTGCTCTGCGTCAGCGAGCGGAGTATGTGGAGGGACGAGGGCCGTACGCACTGCTCCAGCGAATTACACGACGGTTGCACGCGCTTCGACTGTTGTCAATTCATCAGAGCACCTGCCAGAAAGTGGCACCGCATGTGACGGTTAGCTGTGAGTGGTCCCTCAGGTGACTAGTACAGTAGCGCTGACAGTGTCAAGAAGGGGGCGCCAGGTACGAAGCCAATAATGTAAGGGAAACAAACAATTGGCTCGGCCACCTGGCAAAAGGTTTGACAGGTCTGGGTGCACGTGAAGGCAGGACTTGTACTCTGTCCGGCCCGGGCCTTCTCATAGGCTCCGATTTGGGACGGAGTGGTGGTGGACAGATACACCCTTACTCTCAGTCTTCTCACCGGCGGAAGCAGTGGCTACAGTGTTTGGACATAGCGGGCTGGTGAGATAACTCGGTTGCGGGCCAAGTCGCACGAGGTGACGAAACCAGACTTGGGCCGTAAAATTCCGTTAATGCTGAAGAACTGTCTTAGTCGTTTAGACAGCAGTACCATTGTAGAACGTATAGAACCTTGACTAAACGCCCTGGGTCAAACTGTCAGTATAACGCATGTGATAGGACCTTCTTTGGTCCGCGGCGGCTACACTAAGCGTCGTACTCAGTATAGCATATGCCAGTCTAACGAGAATGAGGGTGTACTGCATTTAGAAGCGGAGAATGCGTTGGACTCAGGCCTGGCCACCCAAATCTTGGAAGCCCAGGCTCGGTTGCATTTCAAGGAGACCCGACCAGAGCGGAACTTTTCGAGTCCCAACCGAGCTTGGGGCAAAGCCTAGGCTGTACCAGACTTATTCCTGAAACCTAATTTGAAATATTCTTCATAAAAGGTTGACCGTTAATAGTAGAAGCGTTAGCTGACCAATAGTAATAATGCAAGTGACAGATTAAACAAGTGGATATGCAGCCTACGCTTACATCCTATACAGACACATATGTTGGAATGGAATTATATTTAGACATAAAATAAATTTCCGAGAGTTTGGGTGTAAGTGATGGCATTAGGATGTGGTAATTAATAGGAATCTCTTTATACAATGTCACCTTCATAATCAGGTAAGTTGAGCATACACAATACTGAAGCTAGAGAATGTGCTTATCGACGCGGTAGTTTTGTTTCGGGTAAATTCTAGCTGATACGTCACCTCAGACGTGTTTCGGGTCTGAAATGACGTGCACCATCAAACGCCATTGGGCAAAGATGTTTCGAGGGGGCGAAGCCATGCATATCCAAAACTTTCCACCTCGCCTTCAACCATTGCCAGGTCAGCTAAGGACGCGTCACCTGAACGCCGATCCTGCGATCGATCGTTAAATATCGATCTTTCACCGCATTGAAACTACGCACATCGTAGTAACAACTTCTAGATGTAAATTAAACCACGCAAAAAATCGATCCTTCGTAGGATCGATCCTGCGATCGGCGTTGAGGTAACGCGTCCTAAGCTGGGTGGTTCACCCTCCTCAACGGAAACTCTTGCACAGCAGCACCGCCATTGTTTCTAGAACGGTACAGTCGTTTCAGCAGCTTTCAAGAGGAGCGTGAATTGCTGCCAATGTGAGTACTCAACCATCGTTTCCCGCGACTGTATGCATTGCACGCGATCGTTGGTACTTCCGTTCGCTCTGCTAGTCTGTGGCTGTACTTGCATCCTGCACGCGGTACTCTCGTTCTGGTGCCGCTCGATTCTCGGTTTTGAAGATCTGGGGTCGCAGCAGAATCGGAGCATCAGTGTCTGGACGACGGCAGCGCTTAGCCACATCGCGTGACGAGCCCGTTCGTTTGACGGACTCCGTTCCTGCTGGACAAGTCCTGCTCGTTCCAGTAGCTGCTAACCTCTCGCAGTCAAGCAGTCACTCGGT